TTCTCAAATATTTTGCTCCGTACACCCATAGATGGTCAATTCCCAGGCTCGAAGAGAATCAACAACTAGCGGCCGCAGGAGAGCATCCAGCGTTCTATGAGTAATAGGCAAACAGTAAATGAAAGGGAGCCTGTAGGGCTTTGTAAAGTTTGAATAACCAATTATTATAATTTTCGTATAGTTTTCGTATATTTATATTTCATATTCGTATATTTATGTTCTTATTTCCCATCTCATTTCCTCGTCAGGACGCAAATTTAGTTAAGTGAAGATAGTATTTAAACAGGCGAAAGGAGAAAGTTAGACAGGGCGTTATTTCTCTAGTTAGCGCACGTTGCTACTCTGTCCTCCATCTGCGGTGCGGCTTAGGTGTGGCTACGCATTCTGGCCGTTTATGAAGTCTATCTCTGGTATAGGTTTTTGAGTCAGTTTGTTAGCTTTAAGTAATTTGTGTAGTCTGTCACTACTCTTTATCCTTTTCGAATTTATTGTTAAATTTACCTTAAGTTCTCAGCGCAAGTAGTCGGAGTCGTGAGCAAATATTCTTACTTTTCCCTCTTGACTGCAATTGGCTCTGATATAGAATCTATACTCAACATCTGCAAATTTAAATGCCATTCCAAATTTTTTGAATGCATTTAATAGAATTCTCTTCACATTTATATTTGCAAATTATATATAACCACAATAACATAAAATTTTACTTATCTGAGCGACGAGAAAAAGCCCAAAGTAATTACTCTAAACTTGAGAAAACTTTTGTCATTTAAAACCCGCAAATTTAAACATAGGAGTCCTCATCTTCTAAAACGCAGAAAATTGATAAATATTCCTAATATCCGCATCGGATTTCATTTCATTCACACCCAATTTCGTAACACAAGCGAATCGCCAGAAGAAATGACCGCATTCCAAAACAAAAATGTACAGAATGTCATTCATTGTTGTATTTCAAGCGATACACAATTTTTTCTACTACTCTTGTTGCCAGACTTATTCTCGCAAAATGAGAGGCACAGCAGTCGCTGTTTTGTGAGTATGAAATTCGTGCATTTTTTGTAAAAGAGTTTCAGAATAAAAGGGCAATTTAAACTCCTTCCCTGTGTTGTTACTCTTCACGCCTGTGGGAGATGTCAGCAGGGTTACTACTAAGATCAAGTCACTTGCATGATAGTGAGGAGAGTGAAATATTACAAGCCAAGGCAACAGAGAGTTCAGAAAATGATGAATGGCAACTGTAAAAGTTAGAAGAAATAAAATAAAATAAAAAATCTGAAAAGGCTCAGATTTTCCGAAAGAGTTTATTAACAGTTTTCTACGGTATGAGCTCGCAATTTACCAGTTTGCTGTTGCACTCACTCCTACTAACCCCGTTTTTTTGTCTTTTTAGCTTTATTATTAAGCATCGCATTTTCTTCGCCCTTACGCCGTATGCAATGAAACAGCAAAATTACAAAAATTTGAAAAGCAGCATGAGTTTAGAATTCTCGATGAAGGGTTAAGCTTTGGCAAATACACTCATGTCCATAAATTAAGGATAATTCGGAGTCACGCGGAAATCGAACTCTAAAATAAATATATCACCTGTAAAATCACTACACACATCTTCAAGAATCATATGCAAATTTCAGGAAGTAACCAGATGACACCGATGGTACTTCACAATGACGAGAATGTAAGAAAGTGATATATAACGAATACAGGCAAAGAAGTAAGTAAAATTGTTCGCAGGCGCTTTATAAGCATTTCAGTGCAAAAACCACAAAGGACGCATTTGGATGATTTTTTACGTGGTAGAATTATCGGCCGTCTGGAATGTGGGCGTACCCAACTGGAAGTATCAGACAAACTTGGAATTGCCCAGAGTGTCATCTCCAGGCTTTGGCAACGATTCCAGATGATGGTAATGTGAGTAGACGTTACAGCACAGGTCGCCCCAGAGTTACAGCGCCGAATAAGGACCGGTATTTGGCAGTTACTGCCAAAACAAACAGGTGGAGCACAGCCTGAGACCTGCCTCGTCAGCTCTCTTCAGCCACTGGTACGACAATTTCAAGGCAGACCGTGTACAGACGCTTAGGGCAGATTGGTTTATATGTTCGTAGACCTGTCAGATGCGTTCCACTTACTGCAACTCACTGTCGCCTGCGGTTAGCCTGGAGTAGAGAGCATGCACTGTGGACACCGCAACAGTGGGCTTGTGTGATGTTTTCCGACGAGTCCAGGTTTAGCTTGCAGTCTGATTCTCGCCGGACTTTCATATGGAGAGCTCCAGGTATTCGTTACCACCAAGAAAGCATCATTGAACGACACCGTTACGGTGGTGTAGGAGTGCTCGTTTGGGGTGGAATTATTCTGGGTTCCAGAACTGACCTTCATGTTCAAATTGGAATCATGACAAGCCATATCTATCGGGACGTCATTCTGGAACAACATGTACATTTTGTTTCGGGGTGCCATGGGCACACAATTTGTTTATGGATGACAACGCCAGTCCTCACCGTGCAAATATCGTAAGCGAATGCCTTCAATCGGAGGATATCACCCGTACAGACTGGCCAGCATTCTCACCAGACTTGAACCAGTAGAACACGTGTGGGACATGCTTGGCCGACGAGTTGCAGCCCGTCAACCTCCTTCTACATGTCTACCGGAACTTCGGAGTGCATTGCTTTTTGAGTGATGTAATATCCCCCAAGATCAGATCGATAATTTGATACTCAGATGCCTAGGCGTTGTACGGACTGTATTGCATCGTCTGGGAGACATACAATGTATTAACAATCAAACCAACCATGTAATATTGGTTTTTTGTAAATAAGTTTTTTTTTTTTTTTTTTTTTTTTTTTTTGGTAATTTGCTCCAGGGAGAAAAAAAATCGCTAATTTTTTTAATAATATCAAACATATAGCATCTGTTTTTGCTCTTTACCTTTTGTTTAATAAATAAGCTTTACAAATAAGTCAAATTTGTTTTGCTTCTAACTTTTCCTTTGCCTGATTTTGGCATTATCCTTAATTTATGGACATGAGTCTATTTCTATTATTTTACTTTTGTACACACATCTGTACAGCTTAAAGATTTAACTTTTTTTTTTGTTTTTATATTATTATTATTAATTGTTCGTTTAACATAAAGTCAATTGAATAGCGAAATAATAAAATATTGAAAAACAGCATATCTTTAGAATTTCGGATAGACAGTCTTGCAAACAGGTGATACCAAACCAGCAGTCAATCCGTACGCTGTTGTCACTGCTCGCTTTGAAATCGTCGAGTTTGTTAGAAATTCATTAAATTTTTAGAAAATATGAATTATAAAATTTGAAATTCACTTCGAAATTCGAGCTTCCAAGTGCCCATGTTCGGGTGGGAGACTACGTTATGCAAAACTGGATGTCCCTAAGTACTACCGTTTTTCACAGCGTGAAACACATACATACATTCATGCAGATTCTTCATTATTTAAATTCTTTAAAAGTAATACAGGGTGATAACATTCGTGGCAACAATTTAAAAAGTGATTCAGACATTTAAAATAACACGCCTCCAAATCCCGTTTCGAGACTAATAGCCCATTCAGGCTAAAACCCTTTTAAGCTAAAAAGATATTTTTAGGAAAAGAGTAATCAACATAAAGCAATAAAAGGAAAAGCAATGATTGATGCAGGCATGTGGGTATATTTGGCCTTCTCGGTTTAGGCTTTTGTAAGTTTGGCGTTTCTTTGTTTTATTATGTAAATAATAAAATGTGAATGCCTTTTCGCCATAGTTTTCTGTTATGATACCAGCACACACCCCTCCAATGTAATGTTAATTTTAAAGGAGAACAATAAAATATTCAAGAAGCTAATAACGCCTAGAATTAAGACACAATGGTTATAACATATCTTTAGATAATTTTTAATGTGTTTTATAAATTAAACAAGAAAGGTACAAAAAATATAGAAAAACACCAAAATTTGAATAAGGGTAGTTTTTTATGTTCATAAAATATAACTAAATACCGTTTATTCTGGCATACAACGCGCACCCTTTTCTTTACGGAAAACCTGAATGATACATAAGCGATGCTGTTATCTTTTGCAATCGTTCACCGGAAGATTTTTCCTAGGCTTTCGGGCAATGGTATACTGAACTGACAAGCGATAAGGGAAGCAATATGTGTGTCTGTGGGGGGGGGGATGTTTGAGAGAGTAAATAATTCTGTGAAGAGGCTGCGTTGTCTTCAATGTAGGTGTGCTGAAGAATTTTATTCTAGGGTTTACAACACTTCCAGCGGGACAACTTCCGACCTATGGCTACTGCCAAACAGAATTAAGTGCCATCCCGCCAGCGACGAACGACGATGTAACAACGCCACAGCTAATGCGCAGACATGACAGTACCAGTAAGGTCCCTGCCAAGCCTGAACCATCATGAGAATAAACTCGTGTTCTAGTCCTGTGAAGAGTGATTATCCGTGGTTGAGAGTGCCTAAGTGCAGATCCTAGCCAGTTCTTCCTAGGAATTCTCTTGAGCCAACCCCCGGCTGGAATTCTAGGGTTTACAGAAAAGGGCGGGGCATTATTTGAGGTAAGTATGCTCTTCCGACCCGAATGAATTCACGAAATTAGGAAAATATGCTTTCTCTTTCAGTTTACATTTGAAACCGTGATTTTGAAGTGAACATCGAAGGCAAGGAAGAAACAGGAGGTTAAATGTGTCATGCCAGTCTAGAAACAGTGTGTGAGTGGATAATAAAAAGTATGGAAGGGAATTAAACCGATATAATTAAATATGTAGTATATGTAACAATATAATAGGAGCGGAAGATGCTTACTTATTTATGGATCAGAGTAACAGTGATGGAAATCTCTTTGTTAAAGGATGCAGCAAATCCATTCAAAAGAGAAATAAATAATATTCCATAAAACATGCAAATAAATAAAGCGTATATGCTTATGATAACAAAACGGTGTGTGTTCATTTTAACGAAGCATAATATTACAAAAGGAAATGTGTCATTTACAGGTACTTTATTTAATTTTTTTTTTTTTTTTTGTAATAATGAAAACTATTCTTTTTCATGGTTGATTATTATAGGATCCTTTAAGCGGCAACGGGTTATTTTATCCACAATGTAATCTTCAATGTTCCTTAGTCCGGATTGGATGCAGACACTCAATCCAGATCGTCCGATACTTAAAGGAGCAGTCCTCTGCCATCGTTGAATGGACGGGTCGAAGCATTCACATTCTTGAGTCGGCAACTCGGCAACATCGTCGTAACCACCTATCACATATATTTTACCTTCTAGAACCTAAAATAACAAAAATTCAAAGTAAAAAGTCAGAATTTTCAAAGATTCCAATTTATAACCAAAAATCCTCATGATAATGCAATAGCCCTTACTTTTTCCGAAAGCTGGCTTTGTACCATTGCAGTTTTAAGAACGATTAGTATTTATTACCCGTTTCCATTTGGTGAAAAGAATTCCAAACAAGATTTTAGTTCATAAACATTTTGATTTGGACATCACATGACTTCCTTACACGGCTTGTTAAATTACACACATTTTTTGCTGCATTTCATTTAAACTTATTTCCTCGAATTTTATTAGAGTTACATTTCTCATTCAATTAATTCAGTTTTTACTTCGGCAAAAATATATAAAAGCTCAAAACATCTTCATTAGAAACTGTAAAACACAGAAAAACATAAAATACCGAATACAGTTATAAACCAGTAAAAAAAAAAAAAAAAAAAAAAAACAATTTTTACAATTAAAATTAGAGTCTCTAGGTAAAAACAAACAATGCTGCCAGCGGGGAAGAAGACTGTTTTTCGGTGTACAAAACTGAAGATTAACTTTTAGTCACCCTCGGCAAGAAGACATTGAAGTTGGTGCAGAAACTGACTTTATTCAGTATTTTACTAAGAGTTTCGAATGTAAACAAATGCCGGTTTCGTTAAGCTTAGTAGCCCTTAAACAACTTTGGAATTGTTGATAATTCTATTGTTGCACACAGATTAACTAAAGGCATAAAAACCATAACTGGAATATAAGAACAACATAATCATTTTTAGAGCAAAAAATGCACAATTTACACACATATAAGAATAAAAACTGAGCTCACCCAGCTGGGTAACAGAGTGCGTATAGCGCAAGTAGTAGAATAACTTGATTTCGCACTAAGTGAATTTGAGATCATACAACATTATATATATATATATATATATATATATATATAATATATTAAGTTATATATATATATATATATATTATTAGTTTACTTTACATTTAGTTTTTACGCTATAACTTTGACTTTAGTGTAGTTATTTTTACATGGTGTAACTATTTTACTCTTACAATCAGTTTTGGGGCAAACAGTCCTTTATTCTGTCCATACGTACAGATGTTACGTAAAAACATCGTTCAAATGGATTCGAGAGCGGTCAAAATGGATATTTTCGTTGAAATATGATACCTGAAATTTTTAGCAATTGCAATACGCCCTTTATTTCGTACAAAGAAGTAAAAGTAAGACGAAGTAAGCATTCAATGATTGTATTTTGCAAACAGGGCAGAAATATACATATTTAAATTCGAAAGCGTGAGTAAAATTAAAACAGACCTGCAAGATTCTAAACGCTTTTTTGCATTTCCCAAACGAAGAACTGAAACGAAGAATTATAAAAGTGTTAATATTTATGCCCTATGTCGTATTTTAAGACCTGCAGTTCATCTCCAGCAATATAATAAATTAACTTTGATAGGGTGGTAAGCAGGAACTGTATATATATCAGTTACGGGAGTGCTATGAGAGATATAAACAGTTGCGAGATGTTAAAAGGCGATCCTATTTTTTTCTGTATTTTTCTCTCTCTATCCTCTGTATTCAAGTATTCTGTAGGTCGTATTACGTAAGCAGCTGATGTCCCGGCTTGCATACCGTGGCCATTAACAATGACGTCACTAAAAAACTGATATTTTAATGTGCACGCTTGCTTCGACTAACTAAAAGTTCATTTTACATCCAGTGTTTCTGTTTTGTTCAGTTTTGTAAAAATTCATTTTACATCCACTGACTACGCGTGTTCAAAATTCGATAACTCTTTGGTGCTGACGTTTCTCCACAATGCGAGGAAAATTCAGAATGCATATATACAGATTCTTTGTGATATAACAGAAGATATTATTCTTCTGTGTATATCTGAATTTACTTGAGATTGAGACTATTGAGACTGCAAGCAAACCTGACTACTAGAAGTGCAATATCCAAATTTACAACATCATTTTGCATTGAAAAAATGCGATTTCTCTAATCCCAGTGTACTTTTTTCGGAATTTGAGTCATTTCAATTTAACATTGCATGTCGGATTAAAGAAAGAATAAAAATTGCTTAGCTCTCAGCTGTAAAGTTAAATTTTGTATAAAAGCCGTTAGAATATTTAAATTTTAACAATATACAATTTGGATATAATGAATCATTATTTAAAGCATGAAGGAGATGGAAAACGACAAAGGAAATCTTCAAAACTATCCTGTGGAACACAACGAAGTTTTGGCGAAAGTAATTAAACTAATAAGAGACAGTGTTCCTAAATTCTAGCATAGTTTTATAAATAATTTGGAACATTTGGTACTACAGAAATTATTAAAATGATTAATTGATCTACTGTGTGTAAGGGCGTTGATTTTCCGTCAGTGAAAGAATCAAACTTCAATATTCTCAAAACTAAGAAAAATAAGAACTCTAAATACTGGACTAAGGAAAAATTTGTTGAAGGGGGCTGATTTAATAAATCTGGTTACAGTTATCGATTTTTATTATACAGAACAACGATGAAAAATTTCAGTTTCTGTTGTAAGACGTCGTAGAATAAGAGTTAAAATATACTCGTATATCTCTCCCTTGAAAAATGCATCTTAGGTTTTCTTACAGAGTGATGAATTATTAAAAACAAATTCTTATTATTTGACAATGAAGTTTCAATTATTTTATGAAAAATGAAGTTTTTAAAATTCATATTTGAAAAAAAAAAAAAAAAAAAATTAAGGAAAACTTCTTTTAAACTGTAATTTGAACTTTAATTTAGAGATTTGAGATAGTAAGATTTTTATTTGCTTTTTTTTAGTTTTCTGTTACCAATATAATTAAATAAGAAAAAATATAGTTAATGATAAGGGGAAAATTTTGCTATTATTTTCTGGGGGGTGAGGGATATCATTTCTAATTTGGAGCACTCCCATCTAGTATACATATGTAGTTTTTATAATAATGTATTTTTGGCAGTTCACTTTCAAAATTTTAAAATGGCATTACTTAACCCCGGTAAATTAATTTTAATTATTATCCTATTTTAAGAAAATTCTTTAGTTTTATTCCAGTAGATTTTAAAAAAATCGAGAGCATCCCAAAGCGTCTAATTCCGATAAAGTTTTTGCATTTTTCCCCTTAAACGAATTATAATATCGCTTTTATTTTAAAACCTGTTTCAGCTAAGTAACAGATGAACTAAATAAGTTACTACATAAAAAATTAAAAAATTAGTATTATCAGGTAAATGACAAGAAAAATTTTTTTACTGGACTGTTTAAATTTTCAGAACTGTGTTAAATCAATAAATAAAAGTGGGTGATTTTTAATATATCAAAAAGTAACTAATTTAATTTTAATGAAATTAAACGAACATTAAACTAAATATATAAAAGTAATTTTGCCGTAAATAAAACTCTCTCAAAACTGTACATTTCGGATCATACTTGTATCGTGGCGCCATCTGCAGACAAAGTATAAAATGAATTCCTTGTTTGGAATTCTGATCGAATATTTTTTCCTGTTACTGATCATACAGTATTTAAATATTTTCTACATCCATTTTTATTCTTAGTTTTTTTTTATAATATATAGCAATATAATACAGCATTTATTAGCAGTATAATAGCTAATTCTTTGAGAAATTTTGGAAATTAATATTTACTTATTGTATGCGTTGGTAAACTAAATATTACAAAAAATAGAGTAGTATACGCCTAATTATAATCAAAGCTCCTTGCTTAAGTAAACATGTATATCAATTATGGTCAAATTCAGCGAAGTACGGCTGAATTTGTTTCAGGAAGAACTACAGGTTAGAATTCTGAAATGTTCAGGAACCATAAGTATCAAGTATAGGAGCGGGTGTTACAATACATATATAAAATATAGGAAGACGTATACAATATACATTTGTTTAAAGTTTTTAATATCTTCTGTAAATTAAACAAGCAAAGTATAAAAAATATTGATAAATACTAAAGCCCGAATAAAAGCTGTTTTTTATATTCATAAACTAAAACTAAATACTTATTTTTAATTGGTTTAATTTAAATAAAAATGTGGTTAATTCAAAATATATTTAATTAAAAACATTAAATATTTTTAAAGAATTGAATTACATATTTTCAAATATCTATAAATTTTTCTATATTAATCTCAATGTATATTCGCTAGTATCTTATGAAATGTTATTCAACCTGAGCCATCCGTATGGATAATCTCTACACATAAACCACATTAACTTTAAAATAACCCTTTTCGGCGACTTAAAAATCTGAACATTTCGGACTTTTTTATTTGTAATTTTACGCTTATTAATTTATTAATTTACAAAACATCAGTTTCTTTACATTTACACAGCACAAAATTTAACAACAAAATCTCAGAACCTTAAAAATATGGAATATTTTAAGATTTTTCAATAAAGTATTACCATACGTACTTTTCATACCATACGTTTAAAAGTATGTTCGCCATACGTTTAAAAATGTTACCATACGTATATTTCATATTAATTTTCATATTCACATTTGTTTTCGCGTCTGGGGCCAGCTGTGAAAGCAAAATGTTTTCTCTCTAGACGTGAAAGCAAAATATTTTCTCATACACTCGTTTTTTACACGCATTTTTCGATAATTTCTTACTTACATTCAAACAGAAATAGATGCATACTGCTCAGCCTTATTTTCAGGAACAGTTTCGTACTTAGAGACTGCTGCCAGAGAAATTTTGAAACAAACATTGACTTGTACAGTTCCTGAATAATAGGCAAGTCTTATAAAAAAAATCATACAAAAATCAGACGTGTTACCTCCACTGCAAAGTTGCTCCTTGGTCTTGACATGGGCTTAATCGCAGACCACTGTTTATTCTCGAAGTCATATTTTTCCACAGATCGCTCTCTTTGATTGCCGTCAAAACCTCCGATGGCGTAAATACAGTTGCCGAGTATTACGCTACCTACCCCAGAACGACAAGTGTTCATCTCCTGCAGTAAGTACCACTGGTTGAAAACTGAATAGTAGACCTCCACCGACCTCAGAGGATCCACGCCATTGAATCCACCTACAACGATGATGCGTTGTCTCAGCGAGCACGCACTGGCATCGCTTCGTTTTACATACATAGGTGCAACATAACGCCACTAAATAAAACAATAAAAAAGTAAAATTTTATTGTATTTTATCTACAATCAGAAAAATGAAATCTTAAATAACAAAGCGGTAAATAGTTTAATAAATTATCAAAGAAGAAAAATTAATTATTTGCCATCAGTTACCCCTTTGAAGTAAACCAGAGGACTATTATAAAGAAAACCCTGCGTAATGTGATGGCGATAAATGTTATCATTCGGATATTGTTATGATTTGCAGCAGTCCCTTCCGTTTATATGCAAAAACATAGAAAATCCTTTTGTTTATTGTGATCATGGCGACATATTTAGTGATCACCGACTACGTATGACACTGCTGACCTAGTTAAGCCAGATGAAGGGATTTACCATAGCTCAAGCTATCGCGCTTATGAACTGGCAGTTTTAAAAGACAGTGGGACTCTTCGGAGACGAGGACTCTCCGGAGCAACTCTCCGGAGACGAGGCAGACCAAAGAAGTACATTACTGGTTCTTCGCCGAGACGTCGTACGAGCCACAAGGTAAGTCTGTAAACCAACAGCTTTCAAGCGAGAGGTCACGGCAAAACACTGTTCAGCAAATGGTAAATGAGACCGGTAGGAAAATATTTAAAAGAAAAAGATTTTTAGGAAAACAATAACTGGCAAAATGATGAGGATAATGATGATTATGAGGATAAACGACGTTTTTAAAAGATGTTGAAGAAGACAGACTGTAAAGGATCAGCGCCAACGATGGGATAAGTGTTCTGTGGGTGATTATCTTCTGTCGTTAGGCTTTTGCATGACTGGTAATTCTTTCTTTTTATAATGTGAACAATAAAATGTGAATGCATTTTAGCAATACAGTTTTTATATTAAATACCAAAACACATACCTTCAGTGTAGTGCAGTTTAAAAGGAGAAGAATGAAATGTTTAAGAAGCTAACAACTCTTAGATTTATGGCATTTTGGTTATGTAGTTCTATTTCGGAAGGCAAGTTTTTGCATCGTTTAATATATATATATATACAGGGTGTTTCAAAACTTATCGTTCAAGTTTCGTAGGGAGGTAGGGAAGACGTTAGGAAATCGATTTCGCATAGGAAAGTATGTCCGCAAACGTCATCTACATCAGGGTTTCTTAAACGTTTTTCACTCGCGACCACTTTTTATCACTGAGATTTTTTCGCGATCCCCAGAACCTCATAATATTAAAAAAATTTGTGGGGCCCCATAAGTATTGCGCAAATTCGACACACGCGTGAGTGAAACTGTAAATTTTTTCACTATACTGTGATATACTATTGCAGTTTTAGGTCATTAACTTTAATTTCTAATTTTAAGACATAGAACAGTGTGAAAATTTTAAATAAGTTAACAGGCGAAATGACAGCGTCACGTGCAAAGCAAGGAAAATGAGCGTGTATATTATAAAAAGAATGTGTCGAAACGTTTCCGTTTTTTTCCCTTTGTCTGTACTGTCTTTATGTATTTTCAGATACATTGTGTAAAAATATTTGGTAATTGTAAAATTATTATAATAAGTTAAAGAAATATCAAAACTGCTAAAATTTTAGCGACCCACAGTTTAAGAAACCCTGATCTAAATGAACAAAATGGACAAATAAAGTTAACAAGGAAACAGCACAGTTAAGTGGTAACGATGCGAACTTTATTCCAAAAAGGTAAAGTAAAGGTTCATAGTAGATACTCAAAATTACGACCATTTGCACGACCACTGGATTCACGGCGCAATTGCATTGACCTCCAAACATTTTTCCAAACGCCGGTTATATCACGGACAATTCCTGCAGCTGCCACTATTCGTGCAACAAGGTCCATTTCACTGTCAATGGGAGTCTCGTACACATGTTCTTTCATAGCGTTCCACAAAAAGGAATCCATAGGCGATAAATCAGGTGACCTGGGTGGCCGAACGATGGGTCCTAATCTGCCGATCCATCGAGCTTCGAATGTTCGGTTCAGGTAATCACGCACATCATTTGTGCTATGGGCTGGAGTCCTGTCACGTTGATGCCTCATATCTCGGCGGATATGGGCAGGAAAAACGCCCCAAAAAGTCGCTAACACTATCTTGATTAAGACTAGGTATTTTCGGCAGTCTAATCGGGGCTAAGGTTACCAATGATTCCAGCCCACACATTTACGGCAAGAGGATGTTGCACAGCGTGACGTCTCGTACCATGCGGGTTGTCGTAAACCCACACATGTGAATTGTGTGTATTGAATACACCTTCACGATTGAATGAAGCTTCATCTGTAAAAAGGACAGAAGCTGGAAAACTGGGGTCAACGGCACTTTTCTGTACGAATCATTGTGCTAATTCCACATGTTTTGGAAAATCGTTAGGATGCAGTAACTTCACCCTTTGCAGATAGTAAGGATGCACACGTTCCTCGTGCAGTATCCGCCACATTGTGGAGCGAGAGACCCCAAGCTGCTGAGCAATAGCTCGTATGCTGGTATTCGGATTATCTTTGAGGGAGTGTAGGACTTGTTTTTCGACGTTGGCAGTTCGCGTCAATCGTCTTCTCCCCCTATCCTGCATATTACTGCGTAGCGAACCATGTCCGCACAATTTGCGGTGCTTCTGTCTTCTTCTATAGGAGTATCGGTCTTCGTAAACTTGTCTAGCTCGGCAGCCGCTTTCACTAGCTTCCCCATATGTGAGATGCATAGCTGCTAGCTCTTGATGCGTAAAACGATTCTTCTTATCACTAGTAAGTCAGCTCGTATATTGATGACAGTGGAAGTGGTCAGGCGAGCTGTACGCTGGTTGGGTACACACAGTGCCTTCGCGTGCATTTTCGACGCACTTTGCTATGTGAAATCAGTTCCATGGCGTCTTCCTTACCTCCCCCACAAAATTTGAACGATAAGTTTTGAAACACCATGTATATGATGTTTAAAATACTTATGCAGCTAGACTATTCGTCACGGTTTGAACCCACATCACACTGCTACCAATCTACTATTTTTTCCGCTCGACCACTGTTAGACTTTGGCGTTTTAAAAAATAAGTTTTCTTTTCCAGATTTAAGTAGCGCATAATCACATTCCTTCTCAATTCAATTCTTGGATTTCTCATTTTTTGCGCATCAAAGTGTGCATCTTTAAGGTGTTAAGGGCTGATGTTTATTTGATTCAAGTATATAATTTCAGTATAACAACATAACAGTTTTTCTGAATATTTATTTCAACGTTAGTAAAGGCAATGTCCTTAGCACTGAAAATTGCTATGATATTGAAGATTTAATTTATTTTTCCTTCCCCCCCCTTTCATCAACCTTCGAGGATGAAGTAGGATTTAAAATCTTACCAAAGTCATAATCAGCAGACAAGTTGCAAAGCGCTCTTTATTGCAACGGACATAGAATGCTCCTTAATTCTACTTCTATGTAGATTATTAGCCCAAAGGTATATAATAACAGAGCCAAGAAAATGGGTTAGCAAGAGTGAGTGCAATAGCAGACTGGTAGACTGTGAGCTCAACGACAGTGTAAAACCTTAACAGGCTTTTTTGGATGATCATTAAAATCCGAGAGATTTCATATTTTTTTAAAAACATCTTTTCAGTCATGTACCTTTTAATTAAAATGACTCCTTTTAAACTTCCCTTTCTTCACTTTCATATGATAACTTCCTAAAACAAAATTTTATTCACTTATCGTGTTGAATCATTTCGTCTGAATACAGAACCTTTAAGAAATGTTGTTAGGTAAAAGTAAATAAGTATTTGAGTGAATACATTTTATTTACGCTTTACATTTGCATTCGCAATTATGCTCAATTCAAATATATCATTTGCTTAACTGAGAACACATGTTCAGAATTAATTTTTACTTACATTATGGAATATTTAGTGTGGTGAAGTTTGTAGTAATATTTAGAGATTTGTCCTTGAATAATAAAGGTACATTACGCAAAAGTTAGTATTTCTATTTATTTCAAATTATTTTTTTTAAAAGTTTCGAAAACAGAAATATATCAAATGTAAAATAAAAAAAACATTATTTTGAAATCAGTTTCGCACCGTGAAGTTTGAGGTTTACGCCTTGAAATTTATAATACAGCAGATTATTTATTGTGCAGTGAGTGGTCATGAAAAGTAACAAAATTAACCAAGAAAATTTTCAATGATGTTATTTATAAAATATTTTCAAAGGTTCTTATTAATAGTTAGTTTTTTTGCAACCGTTTCGTTGAACAGGATGAGTAGATGGAACTGACTGAGTTTAAACAGAGGAATGTCAAATTTTAGAATTTAGATTTTTCTATGTGTATTTTTCCAGATTTTCAGCTGTCAAGCAGACTTCGAAAATTATAAACCTCACACAGATTTGATGATTATTAGAGACCCGAGGAAGGGAGATAAAAAATAATAGTTTCCTCCATCTGCTGAATAAACCGATTTATTGAGAATTAGAAAGAAGTTGACGAATTTAGAATTTGATACGGAGGCCATACATACAATAAAGGTACACCATCACAACTGAGTACTGGGTGAAGGGAGGCCCAGACATATTTGAATAAAGTCTGTGCGGAAAACAAAATATCCACCGAAATGTTCTGGCCATCGTAGTCAAGCCCTGGATCAAAGAATTCGCTCAAGGAAACCATATGTGCTCCATAAAGACTCTACACTATCCAACATGGCAACAAACCTCAGAAGTGAATCAAGGGCAATATTTTTACTTCTTTGTACGAAGGAAGTATCGTAATCGCGAAAAATTTCGGGTGCCAGATTTCAGCGGAAATACCCATTTTGAAGGGTCCCAAATTCATTTGAACGATTTTTTTTTTCTTTCTTTCGTCTTTTTTTTTTTTTTTTTTTTTTTGTGTGTGTGTGTGTGTGTGTTGCTTGACGTCTTTTTGGAGGACTTTCTAAGCGAAACTGGCTCATATACACATTACACGTGGGGAAAAGCACATGCAGCCAGCCCTTTTGCCTGAAATTGAACTCATGTTGGCCACTGATGGGATGAGATAAATTGATCAGGATATTTAATTTTAAAATTTGAAATTTTTGACGTCATTTTGAACTTGCGTTGAGGGATCTGTTAATTAATTTAGAATAATTTTAGGAAACAAGTTTAAATGAAGTCTGATTTTTTTTTATTTCTCCCCCCTTCCCATGTGGCCTCCAAATCACCTTGACTGAGATCATCTTGAGCACTATATATATGGGACGCGGGTGAAATGAACATTAGTGAGTACCTATATAAATAAATGTGAGCTGAGGAAGAATAATAAGTTCAATCTATACTCTACTGTCTGGAATTTTCTAATATTCTAATTCTAAAGACTAAATATTTAAAAATAGAACTTTGAAACATGCTTTTTTCTGAATGTGTTTTCCGGACAGTTCCACTCTCGTTCTGTATACTGATAATAGGAAAAGAGCATAACACTTGCATGTATTCCTAATAGAAGTGAAACTCATTCAGTTTGGCATATTATTCTTACGGTAGAAATTTCCAGACGGCATTGCCTTTTCCTTCGGTATAATGCATCTCAAAATGTATAGTATACTAATGAGTAGTACAAAGAGTTCGAAAATATGCATGTAAAACTGGATATTCCCTGTTTTCAATAGTAGTAGTAGTAAGAGGAAAAGGCTTGTAAACATTTTACGCAGGGTACAGGAAAAGAATTGACACATCAAATGCTGTCTTAGAGCCCCTTATTGAGTACCTGCGTTTTAAGAAATCTTGACACCAACTGTACTTTTCGTAAATTATAGCTATTTTCTAAATTTCGTTTCATTATTTTTCAAAACAAAAATAATAAGTTTGCATTTTATTACTTTTTAAAACATTCTCGGTATTTATTTGATGAATGAAAATGTCTACGCATGTAAAAACTAAAAACGGTTATTTTTATAAACATCGGCTAATTCCTAATTAATCAAGATAATAAGAGTTTTCTTTTCTAAACATTATTGCAAAAGACTACCTAATGCGTATATGTATTGTTATTGCACGTTTGTTCACTGTCACACTTATTATATGTTGACTTCTAAGAATTCATTATCATTTCATTCCAGATAACGTTATTCAGGATTATCACTTCTTTAATTTCTATATTTATTCGAAAATGCATTCGACGGAGAGAAATCCCTCAAACGGAAAGAGTCACAAATTATCGTAAGATCTTGATTATGGTGGTAATTGGTTGCTAGCGAGGACACCGTTAAATCTCTTAATTGTGATTTATAGCTTTCCCCAAATCATTCAAATGGGATTAAAATACGTAATCTTCAAAGCGAATTGAAGTAATATGTCTGGAAAGCAATTTAAAGAAGAGCGTTTAGTAATTAAAATAAGCTCATTTTGATAACTTAGGAGAAATAAGCAAATTTATTCGAATAATAGGAATACCAATTTTTCTGCCTGCAAACACTGCACACTTATATTGATAAGGAAATGGGATAAAAAGAAAACAAGAAAACGTAAAGACCAGCTGTCCCAATCCGAGAAAGGAGACAGACGGAACTGGCAGTATACAGCCACAGCTGTCTTCTTACGTGTATATATATATATGTATCCATGATTCTATTTATGTGGAATTACAGTGGATTTCGCGAAAAAAAAATCTCTCTTAAATAATTATTTGCAGAAAAATAAATAAGACAATTTTGATCACATCTAGATTTTGATATGTGCCTAATAAGAAAACAAACAACTCAGTGAGAAAAATGCTTTATTTCTGAACTAGTGAAATAAATTTGAATCCCTAAAAAGTAACTAGGTAAGGAACAACTTAGCAATTCAAAATTTCTTCCAAGAAGCTTATATGTTATTGTTGTGACTAATCTCACTTGTTTGTAATCAGAGCAAGCCCACGAAATTCATCTTGGCAAGGATTCAAGAATGCACCTATCGTTGGCAAGATCCTTGGGCACCATACAGGCGACAATACGACTTTGCTCAGTTTCGCTCTCAGTTTTGAAGATGAGTATCCTGATGGGACTCGTCCAAGGGCTTCCCACCAACCTTTCGAATGGACTTTCGGATCATTGCGTATTTTGAGTGCCTCAATACCGCACAGACACTATACATATTTTCAAACATCCATGCCTTCTCCGGGATTCCAACCCGAGCCCTTCGGCAAGGCATTCAGCTACGATAACCGCTATACCGGTTGGGTGGCAGATAACCACTATGCCGGTTGGGCGGCTTCAATTCGCGGCAGAAAATGATAGTTTACTCTATCTGCTGAATAAACAGGATTATTGAGAGTTAGAAAGAACTTGGAGAATTTAGAATTTGATCGGGAGGCCATGGCTGCAATAAAGGTTCAATATCGCACTGGTCAAAAAGCCCCAAACATATTTGAAGAAAGTCAGGAAAACAAAATATCCACCAAAATGTTCTGGTGATCGTAGTTAAGCCCTCGATCGAAGACTTTACTCAAGGAAACCATATATACTCCAAGAAGACTCTACACTATCCAAGATAGGAAGAAACCTCAGATATGAATCAAGGACAATATTTTTAGTTCTTTGTACGAAGGAAGTATTGTAATCGCGAAAAATTTCGGGTACCAGATTTTAGCAGAAATACCTATTTTGAAAGGTCCGAAATCCATTTGGAAGATTTTTCTTTTCTTTCCTTTTTATTTATTTATTTCTTACATGACGTCTGCACGTACGAACAGAATAAAGGTTTCTATTTTACAAAACGATTTGCAAAATGAATTTAAAGTGAATATAATTACGAGCGACTTGAGGAAGGGAGATAGAAAATGATGTCGTTGTTGTTACTTATGCTCACTTGTCTGACAGTAACATCAGCCCAAGCTCACGAAATTCCTCGTGGCTAGCAGCACAAGATACGCCTGTCGTTGGCAACAGCCTTGAAAACCCTACAGGTGACAGTGCAATTTAGCTCAGTTCCATCCCCCCCAATTTTGATTGAGAGCACCCCGGGGAGGGACGGGTTCAAGGTTCTCCCACTCCTCTTCCTTTCCACCAAGCCACACGAGAGGACTTTTGCCTCGCCGCATGTTTAGAGTGCGGCCATGCCGCACAGACACTATACATTCACAAATATGCATGTCTTTTCCGGGATTCGAACCCGGGCCCTTCGGTACGGTAGTCAGAGTCACTAACCACTTTCCCGGCTGGGTGGCATAATTACAGTCATAGGAATTAGAATATAAGACTCCTAAATAATTGCTAATTAAACGTAACAATTTTTTACATAAATATAGACAAAAAAACTAGCGCAAGTGCAAAGAAAAGTCGTTATACGTTTAGCGGTTGAATTTAGTACTTAAGCTTATTAATTTTCATTAAAATTTTGATATCTTACAGAATAAAAAATACTTACCTGATTAAGTTGGATGTTGTACTCCTCTACTGTTCCTAGCCTGTCATCTCCATTGTATCCTCCAATTGCATATATCTTGTCAGATAAAAGGACTGCGCTTAGATAACACCTAATTAAAAGTCAGACATTAGCTGGATTTCGGATTTCAAGCTTGTAATCAGCTGCATAGGTAAAAGTTTGCATAGTTAGAAGCAAATCATGTACTGGTCTGATAAGCTTTCATCCCTGAGGATGCGACGGAAAATGATTTGAGAATATGTAGAGTCGAAATTATTCTCTGTGAAGATAACATTCGAATATCTGAAGTCAGTTATGCAAGATTTTACCATCATATCTCTTTATGGTTTAAAAATAGTTGAAGAATTAACATTATAAAAAAATTAAGAGCATTAGAAGCGGCAGAATAAGCTCAATTTGTATTGAAAAATGTATTTTTCTTATGTAATAAAAATTTATTTTCATCCAAAGTATCATTTGATTAAATTTACAACATTAATGTTTCTAACCCAACTCTCTATTTAATGAAAACGATAAAATTGAAAGGAATATTAGTCTTTGAAATTCTAAGTACAATGGAAAAAATATGTTAAACAGAGTATTTACTCAGATATAGTTTCCCCTCATGTATTCTCCTACAGCAGTGTTTTCTCCATTTGGATACAGAAATTTCTGGTTTAGATACAAATTAAAATGTATGCCCAAATAGAAAATTATTTTTACAAGTAAAAGAATATTATTCGAATCGGTAAGTCTTTTGACATATATAATACAATAATATTAGTTTATCTTTGCATGTGCGGTGTACAGTCTCTTTAGAAATATAGTATACGCGCTTATTTTTCCCCTCCCGCTTTTCAAGCTGTAAAATTAGTAAGAAAGAGGGAGAAGTAAGGAAGTAAATATCGTACGTTATCCAAGAGAAAGATATTCGTTTCTTCTACACAAAAGAAAATGATACTCATTTCTTTCACCCAAAAGAAAGAATGTCTTCGAAGGGCGTTTTCGTTTTAACTTTGCGTTCAAAATTTGAATCTTTTTTTAGTATTGAGAACATAGATCTGAACACAAAGAAACCGTCTAGCACATAAACATATTGTTGTAAATGAATAAATTCGTTGGGGCTGAGTGACATAAAAGATTGGTATAAGAAAAGTCAGCTCCAGTATTTAATGTATTTCTTCAGATTCAAATATTCTTGCCGATCCCCGTTAATTTTTAGACAATTCCTTGAAAAATACAAGTAATCATAGACGGAAAATACGCAACTTGTATCAAATTAAAGAATATTTATAGGTTTTTGATCTGGTTTTGTGGGAAAGAACATTAGAGCTCTCTGCCTAAAGGGAAGGCTGCCTTCATGGAGGATTTTCTAAGAGAAACTAGCTCGTATACACATTACACATAACGAAAACCACGAACAAGCACATGCAGCCGGCCCGTTCGTCTGGAATCGAAACCAGGTTAGAACTACCACTGTTGAGAGATTTTACCGCTCAGCCGTTAATGGGCGAATATTAATAGAATAGAACTTAACTCATACATGCTGAAAACATTATTTAAAATAATTTGTAAAAATAAATTAACGTAAATTACTATTTTTGTCAGTTGATTAATATTGAAATATTACATGTAAAGTTAAATTTATAAACATTGGAAAGTTATGAAAAAATTATCTTCCTTACTTTAGTAAATTTTACTTTAATATGGTGTGTGTCGCCAACTCTGGCAGGCATGTAGACCTCACATATTGATTTTAGAAATATTACCAGACTCCTGATCAAAAGTGTGTACCTCTATTCTGAAAGTTCCTTTTTCAGTCCTAGAGGGTCCGGGAGCCAACTGATGGTCTGCTATTAGGCAACATAAAGTATACCATGCTCAATGATGATCAGATCTGGTGAGCAAACTAAATTGTTCACTGAAATGATATCATTTATTTCCAAATATTCTGACACTACATGTGCTTGGTGCGAACGAGTATTTCCATCCGTTACCGTAAAACCTGGCAAACGACACCTCTAAATAGCTTTATATGTGGCTCCAACACTTGGTCCACTTATCAAGAACAGCTTATTTATAATTGCTATCATCAAATATTATCACATTTTTTATTTTTAAAGAAATTAAATAATTAAGAATCTGTATGTTCTTCTGGCATTGTGAAAAACCGACGGCACCTAGAGCCATCCAGCTTTGAATAACGTAGTTCACCATCCGAACCATGTGCACCTGGAAATGTTGACGACTTTCGAATTTGTTTTATTACTTACTTCATAGTTTTGTAAAACTTTAATGAATTTTTGATTGACAAACTGAACATTTGAAAGCGACGTGAACCACTGTTCGAAATAAAACCTTTTTATTTTCAGAGCTTGAGACTGTTGCCATTCAGAAAATGTTACGTATTTATCATTCGATTTTAGTTAACAAACTCGACCCTATGAAAGAAATGTGTTGCCTCGCGCAGAAATAAAATACTTTTGTCTTCTACGCGTTAGTGCGTTGCCATTCATTAAAGCCTAATATACTTTCAAATTTAATCTGGAAGTTTATCCAATAATAAACTAAGCAATTTAAAAGCAATAAACAAGTTATTAAGAATATTTCTTTTCTACTTTATAAAATGATAATAAACATGTATTAAAACCATAAGATGTCTAATTAGTAATATTCAGTATTATTATGAAATTACACTGGGTGGATTCATTAAAGTTATTATATAGCTTTTATTTATTATAACTATTTTAGGCACTTGGCTGCGCGTGGGGCTAATACTGTAATAAAGAAATAATGTAGTGAACATAAAAATATGTATGACAACCTCTAATACTCTATCAGGAATTCTAAACATATACTGTTTTTAAATATTTTGTGATTTTGCTGTTGAATTGAATTTTATGTGGTTAAGTGTGAAGAACGTGATATTTAATAAATAAAGTTAGCAGATAAAAGTTAATAATAAAAAGGCAAAAAATTTTTTGTGAACCATCGGACTAAGAAAACTGAATATTTATATGATGAATTGGGAAAAGACCAAAAAAAAAAAAAAAAAATAAAAAAAAAAAAAAAAAAAAAAAAAAAAAAAAATAAAAAAAAAATAAAAATAAAAATAAAAATGCGTGCCAACTCTTACGGGGAATTCTAAACGTATGCAGTTATGCAGCTTTAAAAAATTTATTAGTTCCGTTATTGAACTGTATGTGATGTAATTGTGAACAAAAAAATCAACGGTTAATAATAAAGTTAAAAAGAGAAAAAAAGTTGTTAGCAGAAGTCAGTGCAAGAGCTGACTGGTAGACTGTGAGTTCAGGGGGGGGGCGTAAAAAGCCTTAACAAACCGTTTTCGGGAGACCGTTAAAATCTGAGACTTTTAGATTTTACTTTTTTTTAATATTCTAACCGCAACCGTGTCCCACTTTCATGGAAAAGTAACCTTTCATGAACAACGGAAAGCACTGCATGTTCGTTGGCCTCTGCCGATCAATATAGTTGAAATTAGAGTTCAGACTACATCTAAATTCGTTCGTAAAGAGTTTGCTATCTCATTCCTCATTATTTTATTAAACATGGTGATGATACCAACAAATTGAACGTGCACATTTGAAAGATGAAAGACACAAATCATTAGTTTTTCGCATAATTTCCTATCATCTATAGAATTCACACAACAACAGAGCGGCTGATTCGAATTACCGTGGCTAACTGAAGCCCTAAAACCAACTCTGTTTTAGTTACTTCAGGGTGTCTTGGAGCCAAAAACGACAAAACATTCTTCGGATGCAATTATTGGTTTTGGTAACGTTGGACAATGCTGTCTACTAACTGATTTATTCTAAAGGAGAAGTTGCTGTTCTTGGTCGTCTTAGACCATGATGTATACTAACCGATTCATTCTCAAAGAGCTATTCCAAGTTCTTAATGCAGTAATTTAAGGAATATTCAGACCTTGAGCACACACAGCGAGCCGAAAATATTCTTGAGTGTTTGTTGATAGAGAATAAGAAGTGGGAGACCTTCTGACTGTCCTCTAATATACCTGCGATAAACATACCTTCAGGAATGCAGAGGTGCCTTGCGTCAACTTGTGCCTGTATTCTTGTGCAATAACCGGGCCATCGAAACTGCATTCCTAGATTATTTAAATTTTGAGCTCTAACTCCAGAAAAGATATAACCCGCAGGAAAGGTCATAACGGAGCCCGCTGATGTAAATCAAGTAGCAATTACGGCAATAATCTCGCATTTGCTGACAAAGTTGCTCACATTTTATAAGGAGTACTCTTGATGTGAAATTTACATTGCTTCTACGTTGTGAAGACCTTTCCAGGGCCATCGGTGTTATCTTCAATTTAAAGCATATTTTTCTATCTAAAAAATGTCGAAACTTTTACAAAATGACAGAAAAGCATTAAGAATTGTTCGTAGATTTGAGGCAGGCCAATCATAACTGCAGGCGGCTACAGAGTTAAATGTAATGCAAAGTTTCGTCAGCAATTTGCAAAAACAGTTTGAGGACCCTGAATACATGTCGAGAAGACCTGGACATGGTCGACCAAGATTCGCAAGGACGAATGCGGATCGTTATTTGGCACCTTCAACGCGGCGATACAGAACTGCCACAGCTTCACAGCTCTCACGTGAGCTGTATGCTGTCACTGGAACTCGAGATTCCCAGTCTAAAGTTGCCCAAAGACTTCACGAGATAGCGCTGTGTGTAAGAAGACCCGCTGTTTGTGTCCCGCTTTCTGCAGCTCGCAAGAGGGCGCTTTTACCTGTCTGGCTGCGAGGGGGGACTATACCCATATTGGACTCATTTTCAGTTCGCTATCCCAGCGTGGATATTGGACTATGAGCTTTACTGATTGTCATGCGTACATAAAATGACTTTTGAATAGTACATTACTTTCTCTGTTACAAATGCACACCGAAGAGCCGAAACATTATAACCACTTACACAATAACGCGTTGCACGAGCTTGCAGATGCAACTCACTGCAAACAGCTTGCAAACCAGTTACAACTCGCTTTTGTATGGATGACACAAGTTCCTAGTAGATGACAGGAGACAAGTTGTAATATATGACTAAGCGTCTGCCACGTAAATTCGAGAT